TCTCGTAGTGACCTCGCACGCGATTGTACAGCCACGTCAAACCCTTCTTGTTCTTCGAGCACTTAGGGCAGTAATACGAAGTTGTCATGCACGTTTCGCTACTTTATGCTTCAACAGCGAACAAACCTTGCATGCGCGGTGCCGAGAACGGGTTGCTTCTCCATTTTTGAGCTTGGCACCACCTTGAACGATTGTGTGCCTTCCGGAGATGACTACTGGTCGCTGGGGAGGAGCCTCTAACAATTGAGTGGAACCAATAAAGTCAGCTTCGTCAATGTTAGTCAGTTGTGAGTTGCAGCTTAAGCAAGAATGCATGATGCGAGTCCTTTTTCTTCTTGGTCTTCTCCCAAAGCTCAGTGTACACAATGTAGGAGTTGACTAGCGCAATGTCAACTAATTCAAGGAACAGAGACTTGTATTTTTTCTGAAAGCTAGTTTCACATCAACGTACATGTCAGCTTAAGAACATCACATAGTGTAGACAGTGTCAGCATAAGGACTTACCGGAATGCAAGTTGCAACGAATATGCCTGCAAGCGCAACTGGTCGTTTCGGTCGACACCACCCAAGTACCGTTGATATTCCTCCAAAATATCGAGGCAGGGGATTGAGGTTTACTCTCCCGACTTCTGGCGTCGTAGAACAGAGGTCAAATTTGCAGAGATTTGCGAAGCAAGAAAGTAGACTGGCCAATTATCCACTCAGGCGAGTGCCACCAATCCAGGGTTGGAAGCTGCGCGTGCCATCTTGAACGTGCCTCGCGTTACTGTTACTGGTCGCTTTTTGAAAGAGTAGTTCAGCTCCTTGCACCAACCAAGTCGGTTGGTTTGATTTGTACCGCAAAAGTTGAAACCCATAGTCCTAAGTTGCTGAGCAAGCTGAATCGAGGTGTAAAACATATCAGGCACAATGAGCCGCCGTCCCTCATATGGTACCCCCGGAAAACACAAGCGATATTGCGAGCCACAGCAGCTGAGCCACTCTTTGTGTCGTACGACTGCGAGTTAGCAGTGTCGGCTTTACGACCAACATCGATCTCAACCCTGTATAGTATAAAACACTACATGTCAGTATAACACCACCTTCTTGTGCATAACATGTCAGCTTACCGTTTACACTAGCCTGTTTCCGCACGACAAGTCATTACGCACTTAGAATCCCTGCGATACGGCTTATCCTTCATGAACGTGGGAGTCGGGTTGTGAGATGGAAACATTCCTTCATCGAATACGACGCGAGATCCAAGTACAAATTCCTCTTTGAACGTTTTCTCTAGTGTCGATAACACGGACCAAATTTTCCACGCTCGATCACGAGAAGCAGCCGGATCTTTATTATCAGAAAGATGCAGAAAGCGATGAATATCGCGCCACCAATCTCTCGCCATCACCTTGCCAAAAGTTCCAGCGGAGATCGCGCCAGTTTCTTCAGTGGCCCAGTGATGCTCAAACCGTTTACGAGGCGCGAGAGTGTGAGCTATTATCAATCCGATCCATTGTACCAGCTCATGGGCATAATAGGCGATAACTTCTTCAATTAGGCATGCAACTTCTCCCTGCTTATTGGCTTCGGTCCACCTTGTTGCTTGGTAACTGCGTGATCAACACGAGCCTCTAAGGTCTGTCTCTAGTACTGATTGCTCTAGCTGGCGACGTGACGCCACAGCTGCTTCGGTAGAAAGTAGAAAAAGAGACTGACGGCTGTTTTTGGAAACGGCAAAATGTCTTTTGATGGCCCACAGTATCCATCGTGGATTTTATCAACAACGGGATCGTTGTTGATATGGACTGTTGTGTTTTCAGGGTAAACAGTCTACCCACTTACTATCATTTCACGCAGCTGTACCGAATCAAATATAGTAGATGAAACT